CTGAGACGGGTATGGCATGTGTTTATATAAATATATATATCTATATATATTATATGAACCAATTAATACATGAAAATCCAAATGACATAAAGGAAAAATCGAGTCTTATAGAGATGTTGCTCACAAAATACGATGTTGATGACAGATTGTAAGAGAAGCATAAAGCAAATCAAAACTAAGGGTTTCAATTAAAATTGGAAAGCAACCTTCATCTCTATTCACAATTCGACTTCTTTTTTGGGGGGGGGGGAATGGTGGTGGGTAATAGTGGTGCGATTAAAGAAATGCTCTGGATTGTGATGCACCAATTACAGCTAATTTTGTTAATTGTTAATGCTGTAATGGTCGGCCTCATATTGATGAGCTTATTTGTTTCATGCTGACAGATAGAGTCTCTATCAGTTACTTTTCATGGACATGATCTCATAGTTGATTCTGAGTTGGAGCTAAATTATGGAAGGTTCGTAGTTGTCACTGATCTATCTTGAATTAAAATGCTACCAACTATACATATGATTGTTATTGATGATCATAATTTTTTCATGATGCTTTGCAGACGCTATGGTCTCCTTGGATTAAATGGGTGTGGAAAGTCTACTCTCCTTACGGCATTAGGTTGTCGGGAGCTTCCAATTCCTGATCACATGGATATTTATCACCTTACTCGAGAAATTGATGCTTCTGACATGTCTGCATTGGAGGCTGTCATAAGCTGTGATGAAGAAAGGTTGAAATTGGAGAAAGAAGCTGAAACTTTGGCGGCACAGGTGTGTGGATGTGTTTAAGTGGCAAAACATCTAAATTTCCTATTGCATGCTTCTTTCCTTTTTTTTTTGGGGGGGGGGGGAGGTTGTTTGGATATGCCAACTTATTAAAGAACGGTTCTTTCGTTCTTTTTTTTTTTTTGGTCAAATGCTCTAGGATGATGGAGGTGGTGAAAGCCTTGAACGTGTTTATGAACGATTGGAAGCTATGGATGCATCAACTGCAGAAAAGCGTGCTGCTGAAATTTTACATGGGCTTGGTTTTAACAAGCAGATGCAGGCAAAGAAGACGCGTGATTTTTCTGGTGGTTGGAGAATGAGGATAGCTTTAGCACGTGCTTTATTTATGAACCCAACCATTCTTTTACTTGATGAACCAACTAATCATCTAGGTATCTGGTCTGCACCCTTGTTTATTTATGACTAGTAGGTGTTGTTAATGTGGGATTTGCAAGGCATCGATTGAGCATGTGGTGTTGACACTGTTGATTTTGATTAAACATTCTTTTGATGCCTTAGTAGCGTCAATTATGTCTCTATCAAATGAAAGGATATAGTATATCTGTATATGCTTAGTGTAAATTTTGGATATCTTCTGGGTTTTATTACCTGATTGCTAGTTTCTTACCCTCATTCTGTCATGCGTGGTTATTTGAATCATTGTCTCCCTGTATGTTGTGTTCATTTTTTCCAATGCAACTGAAATGAAATAGTTATGCTGAAAGCTAGGTCTCCTACTTGCTGTGCTTTGAAATCAAAATTGAATCTCTATATTTGTTTGGCATGTTTCTAGCTGGCATCAATGTTTCTGCTTTTATATATATATATATATATATATATATATATCTGCATGGTTTCAGGAATGACTATGTAGTTTTGATTTATTTGCAGATCTGGAAGCATGTGTATGGCTGGAGGAAAATCTGAAAAAGTTTGATCGCATTCTGGTGGTTGTTTCACACTCTCAAGATTTTCTCAATGGGGTTTGCACAAACATCATCCACATGCAAAGCAGAAAGCTGAAGCCCTACACTGGTAACTATGATCAATATGTTCAGACGCGTGCTGAATTGGAAGAAAACCAGATGAAGCAGTACAAGTGGGAACAGGAACAAATTGCTTCAATGAAGGAATATATTGCTCGATTTGGGCATGGATCTGCTAAGCTAGCTCGCCAAGCACAGAGTAAAGAGAAAACACTGGCAAAAATGGAACGTGGTGGACTTACCGAGAAGGTTGTCAAAGACAAAGTCTTGGTATTCCGCTTTGCTGATGTGGGAAAGCTTCCCCCACCAGTACTTCAGTTTGTTGAGGTGACTTTCGGTTACACCCCGGATAATCTTATCTACAGGAATCTTGACTTTGGGGTGGACTTAGACTCTAGGATTGCACTTGTTGGGCCCAATGGAGCTGGGAAGAGTACGCTGCTGAAGCTAATGACTGGGGATCTGGTTCCTACTGATGGCATGGTCCGACGACATAACCATCTTCGAATAGCCCAATTTCATCAGCACTTGGCTGAAAAGCTAGACATGGAAATGTCTGCCCTCCAGTTTATGATAAAAGAGTATCCTGGAAACGAGGAAGAGAAAATGAGGGCAGCTATTGGGAAGTTTGGACTTTCAGGGAAAGCCCAGATCATGCCTATGAAGAATTTATCAGATGGGCAGAGGAGCCGGGTAATTTTTGCTTGGTTAGCTTGGAGGCAGCCTCACTTGCTGCTCCTGGATGAACCGACTAACCATTTGGATATTGAGACAATTGACTCTTTGGCTGAGGCATTGAATGAATGGGATGGGGGAATGGTGCTTGTTAGTCACGATTTTAGGCTCATAAATCAGGTGGCCCATGAGATATGGGTTTGCGCAGATCAAGCTGTGACCAGATGGGAGGGTGATATTATGCAATTCAAGGAGCATCTAAGGGCAAAGGCAGGTTTATCTGATTGAAGCAGATAGTGGGACTACACGATTGGTAGCGGATATATTACAAGGTTCGAGTACTTACGTCACTAATAGTGGGTGTTGCCGCTTGAGTTGGATTTTGTCGGGTGATAAAACTCGAGTTAAGTGGCAAAATTGGTTCATACCCGGGTCATTCTTAAAACTGGGATGGATGCCTTCACCTGCGAATTAGATTGGTGCTATTTTCATTTTAAAGTTCTGGTTGTTCTTAATTAAGTGGCTTTGGTTATTGACCAGATTTATGGATCACGGGTTGTCATTCATTATGGTAGTTATTAATGCCTATCTGAATCTTCTGTATGCGGCTTATAATATATAAATTGAATATTTTACCGAGTATAGTAGTAGAGCTCTTTCTACTTGATGAGGCCCGACCACCTCAGTTCATGACGATGAGCCCTTTGAAAAAGGCAATTATCAAAAGTACTTGCTCAGGTGGCAGAAATTTGGGTGAATCTGCTCTCCTCTCAGAAGTTCAGATTTGATTTTATAAAATTATTATAAACATAAATAGGTGAATTTAAATTGCTAAAATTTGTAGAAAATTAAAAACATTAGTTTGTGAAGTGTTTGTAATAATAATTATTATTTTATAAAAATACTAGTTTTTTGAGGTTAAGGACCTCTTTGGCAGGCACTCCCAAACCATGGTTTGGGGAAAATATCAACCAATGGTTTGGGGAAAATATCAACCAAACAGAAATGTGAAATTATGGTTTGGGAGCAAATCATGATTTTGAACCCCCAAACTATGGTTTCACCAGAAACGCTTCAGAGTAGCTTCCTGACTCAAATTATTATAATCTTGTTGTGGGCCCAATACGGATGACAAAAGAGTTTTTTTTCCTACCTCAAATGATTAATTTATTCCCCAGTCGGTTCTAAGCATTTGTTTTTCTTTTAATATTATGTTTTATAAATATATATACACAAATTAATTATTTATTAAGTATATTATTCTTTACATTATTAATTATGTTAGTAAAAAATTAATTTATTAACAATTTTATTTTTTCAAATCAAAATATATTATAAAATCTATCTCTTATATAATTATCATATTAACTTATACCCTTTTTAGTAATTTACACATATAAAAAGTATTTCTAGTAACAACTATCTAAACACTCTCACTTCTCAAAATCACTTTTTCATAAAATCTATTCTTCAAAAGCTATTCTCTAAACTATGATTTGGTTTTATCCAAATATTCCTTTGGGGGGCTGGTTTTCTTTTATCATTGAGTGGATTAGGTTCTCCTAATATCGTGGAGATGCATCTATTTAAAAAAATTTGGGTTCCTGTGTTCAGTCGAATGAAAAACAAAATTTAACAAATTGGGGTTCATGTTAGTCACTATATTAAAACCAACGAGTTTAGACCGTGCGCCTCAGAATGCTTGGCGCGCGCAAGTTAGTGGAAGTTGATTGGTTGCCGTGAAGCAACACTTCCACGTTTTTTTATAATTAATTTTGTTGGCGTCCAGCCTCACAAGCACTAGTGGTCTAGTGGTAGAATAGTACCCTGCCACGGTACAGACCCGGGTTCGATTCCCGGCTGGTGCATATGGATTTTTTTTCCCCAATTTAGGCTATGCTCGGTAGGTCACAAAATACCTTCCTCTAGTCGGTGCACGTTTAGCTCATTCTCGAGTTTTCTGGTTACCCGTGATGGCTTACAATGCTGCAGTAAATGTTCATTTTGTTCATTGAGAGAAATGAAGGAACTGTAACGGTGAGTCTGCAGAGAAATCGGAAAACAGAAACCACAGTTTTCTCATCTCTCTCGATTATCTTTGTAATATTTCTAACGCATTTGTTAGTGTGAATGAGAGGAGAAAACAATTGTGATGTGCAATAATGTAATTTGGCTCCTTATACTTTTGTATACCGAAGAGAATGATGGAGAAAGCGTAAGCCAATGCATAATCAAGTTATAAATCCTCAAGTGGGACTAAGTAATTATGTGCAAGTTTATAATACAAATCAAACTAATGTATAGCAATTTCATTTTCTCCTCCTGGCTGCATTAAAAGAGTTGTTTTATCCATATATATTACCTGATTATGTGTTATAAAGTCATTTTATGCATATGTATTACCTGATTTCTAAAGTTAGTGTTCAATTTAAAGGAACTTAACTTCAATTAGGTGAGAATTGTTTCGTTAACTTCAATTAAAATATAATAAATCATAAGCTTCCCGTACATCAGAGGGAAGCACAAGCTTAAGCTAGTTGTGACGGTAACGAAAAATTTCACAATAGAAAATAGATTAGATTGCACCGGGAAACACACGCTAGTTGTGATCGTAACAAGACATTTCACAATAGAAAGTAGATTAGATTAAAATTGGAATGACATAATATGATTAGGAGTAGGTTTGAACCATGGGTTTACAGACATTCCAGCTGACCGCATCACTTTCAGAGCGTCCCTCCAATATCCTTTCAAGCTCTCTCGGACTGCAAGGGATTGTTAGAGCTCCTTCATGATCAAACCCATACTCCTCAGCTGCTTCCTCCAATAGCCTCAAAAAAGATGGGTGCGTTAAGCAGCTTAGTGGCACAACAAATCTCCTTGGCTCCTCTCCGTCCTCAGCAATCACCGCAAAATGTCCTTCTTTCACATCTTCTGGGACATAACTCGACTCACTTCCTTCTTCTTCTTCGCATGCGTCTCGATATGAACTCCCTTTCATACCCGGTAACAGCTTCTTTTGGATCTTCTCAACCACAACTTTCAGCTTCACGATCCCACCTTTCTTTTTACCGCTGCTATTTCTGAGTTTGGCCATCATGCACTGCACTTCTGCTACTATTTGTGTATATATCAGCAGGTGGTCGTGTTTCTGAGTTTTAAAACTGGCTAGGGTATGCATTTATAGACAGAGATAAGATGTGAGAGGACAACGTGGGAGTGAGAGAGAAGGGAGACCAGTGCATGTTGGTGAGTGTCATCGAGCTTTCAATTTACCTTGAAAAGTCTCCTTTCTCTGCTATAGTCATGTCTACCTCACATTATTAACTCTACTCCACGATTACTGTTTCATTTTATTTGCCTTTTTTTTTAACCAATAGCCAACCGCCTTCGTCCAAATTATTCACCGTTTTCACCGAGTATTGATCCTCTAACCTAATGCTTCCATTTACGTTCATTCTGTGCACATGTATCTTTATTCATACATGTACTATGACTACCCAATTCAGCAGCTTTGAATTTCCGTAGACATTTTATCGTACGCATGCTCTGTGATCATGTGCTTCGTGTTGATCGAAATTAATAACGTCACCATTTTTTTTCGAGAGCAGCGTTGCGTCGATGGTATTTTGGACTTACGAGCAATGCTATTTAATAGTCGCTCTCCGGAAAGCGTGAAGGAGCAAGTACTAGGGGAAAAATGAGATCTTTTGCGGTTCGTAAAGATAAAAGTGCTCTTAGAAAAGTACGTTTCAAACATCGAGCGGTGTTCACCCACCTTGAGTTAAGTTGTTTGTTCCACTCCTGAATTATTCTACAGCTTGAGCTAGCCCCTTTCCATGACTATGATTTTGAACCATTATTTGCCAAAGAAATAGGGACAGCCTTTTTTGTTTTCAACCTCAAATAACACGCTGCTGTTTTGCAATCTACCATGATAAAGTTCATGAAATAGTTCAAAGTGCTACAAAGTTTGTTCTTGCGCATAATTATGCTGAAAATCTCGTCGTCCAAATACTCACGACCTGGTGGCCATGTATTTTGATGATCTGAATCTGATAATAAAAAGGAAAACAAGTTCTGTTCCCCCAACTGTAAGACTTAAAAGAGGCTAATCGAGGGCTCTCGTAATCACTAGCGCCTTGCTAGAAAAAGTTTGTACTCGGGGCCACCTATAGATGACATGGAACACGTAAAAATGTGGTTGGTTCGCATAAAAAAGAAAGAAAAAACGTTAGTGAAGGCCACAAAAATGTGACACATTCACATCATTTTTCTATATATTGTCATATGTAATCTATGCTTCTACTGGGAGAAGAGAGTCCTACGCGCGAGTCTACCTTGGCGCCTGGATTGAATATCGAGCTTTAAGATATTTAGGCGGATAAGAAGGAAGGAAGGGTTGGGGGGTTGCAAAAGAGAAAAAAGAACCTTTGGAAATGTCCCGAGCAATTATTCTCCGGGATAAGAAGAGGAAACATGAATAAGAAAAAAAGTGCATGGGGAGGCCTTAAGGAATTGGACTGTTCGATGTTTTTCATGTTTTTCTTTGTATAATGAATAGATGCAAGTTGTCAATCAGTTTGCTCTTGGGTTCTTGTCATGCAGTTATTGAAGAGGTCCCCATTTTGATGAAGAGATTCAAAGTCGGAGCTCAATTTTTGATACAGAGACAGAGCAGATTGAGGAATACATGCCAGCAAGGACGTGTTTGAGGAACATTATCCATTGTCTTATTCTTGCCATATCAATCGTGTTTCTGTTTGTTTGAAGAAAGTGCAATTATTCAAATCCCCCAGCAAGGGTATTTAGAAACATGATTTGACCAGCCTACGTTGTTATTTGTCGTGACTTGTCTCGGCGCATGCACATAACTCAGGGTCCGTTTGGATTAGTGATTAGAAAAGTAGCTTATTGTCAATTGGGTTTATGTTTGGATAAGTTGAATTGTGTTTGGATTTGAGTTGTTAGTTTGTAAAAGTGATATTGATAAAAGGTTGTTTGGATTATGATAGAATAAAAGTAAGTTTGGTTGTGAAATGAGTAAAATGGGTGTGAGTTTTAATAAATAATGAAACATGGTTAAAAATAATTTTACATAATACAATGAATTTGAAATTATTTAATATGAAGAAATACAATTTAATAAGTGAATTAAATCTTAAAATTTTAGAGAAATCATAAAAAAATATTTTAAAGATAAAATGAAACATGATTAATTATTTTTTAAACTAATTTTAGCTAATTAATTATTCTTACATAAAGAGACTAAGAGATTAGTGACAGGAAATTTTTCTTTACTTTTCTGAATTTTTGAATGTCTGTTCTTCAAATTTCATTCAAAAATAAAAATTAGACTATCAGAGGCACCCAACTAATGAACGATCTTTTTGCTTATTAACAAAAGCGATGTTATTCTTTTCCAATAATGCATCTCACCACATTTCCCAGTATAATTGGGAAAACGACCTCAACGAAGCCAGCGCCCAACCTGTAACATTAAATGATGGCAACGCTTCTGCCCACAGTTTGTGCTCCCTCAATAAGCTCCAAAATAAGCTCCTATTCGTAGCTTATTTCCAACCCATGATAAGCCAGCTTATTTTTCAATAAGCCCGATATATTTTAAGCCCTTCCAAACATCATCAGAATTTCTAATTGGGCTTATGCCCAAAATAAGCAGCTTATGGGCTAATTTAAGCCCTGCCAAACATGCACTCAACCTTCTTGTAAAGCTCACAGTCGAGGTTAATCAACGTGCGATTTATGAATTCATTACCAACGGCCAAAAAAAAGAAAAAGAAAAATCTACTTGAAAAGGCCAAGTCTAATCGAGTGATCATGGATTTGGATGATTTGTTCGAGCCTTTGAGGTATTAAGTTGGACCTGCCTTCCTTTGTATGGGAGGAGATTATGATTAATGAAATGAGAAGAAAAAAGGACTTGGGAGAACTTGTTTTAAATCAGTGTTAAGTGTTCTCTCTCTTATTTTTTGGGTCAACAGGTTGTTTACTGACAACAGCTCAAGCATAATATTGACATGTTTGTATAAACCTCTATTCTACTATTTCTTATCTTTAAATAAATTAATATTTTATATTTAAAATTAAATTAAATATCAAACTAGTTCTTATACTAAAGATAAAAGATAGTATAAAAGTTTTTTGGGGCTGGGGGTGATTGGCTTTTGGGACAATCCAACACTCGGTGGAAAACCTGGCGCTGGAGCAAGTGTCGTGGCCAGCACCTGATAAATGAATGAAAAAGATATAAAAGCGAAGGCATGATAAAGACTGCGGAGTGCGAACGGGAGAGGATAGGCACCAGAGAAGACAGGAGAGGAATGGAGGAGCGGGAGCTGGTTCCGCTTTTACAACATGTGGGCCTTAAAAGATCACTTTTACTCGTCCCATCTCACTCTGATCAGTGATCACAATCCTTACTCAACATCCCAAAAAGCAAAACAACCTGACTTGGTTCCTAAATATCTTCTCCTCACCCTGTTATGAGCTTCCAGCTCATCTACCAAGTCTTCCATACACACAGCTTTAGTGACACGCATAGAAAGCTTCTTGAGATAATTTAGATCGGAATAAATTAATCACAGAGTGCTAAAAATAACAAGCCCGTTGAAACTTGACGTGCCCTTGTGTGTTCATCGCCCTTTGCACCTGCTGGTGTCGTATTCTTTGTTAGAAGCTGATACGATTTATGACTTCCACATTTGCAAGTTCTGATTGAGCTATTTTGGGAAAGGGAAATAAAATCCACCATAATTTTAAAAGTGATTTCACAGTATATGAAATAAATATATGAAGGAATTTGCCTTAATTTGTAAAAAAAAAAAAAAAAACTTTTTGGGTGTTACCAAATACACCCCTTAGAAACCAAGTTCAAATAGACCAAGCCAAACGATTGTAAAACCCCGTTCACCGGGAATCTTGCTCGCAGGACGCTGGCAGATCAGTGACTTGGTATTTTCACTTCATTGTTTGGAGATGAGTTCATGAAACTAGTGTTGACAGGCAAAGCTAGATGAAGAGGAATTATACAATGTGAACAAACGGAACATGCTTTAAGTCACTGTAACTCATCTTGTATTTGTTGCATCCCGATTACATGGAAAACTTTTAAGGAGGGATGTTTTTTGCCCTACGCAAAAACGTAATGAAACAAACACGAAAATACGATAACCAACTGCCATGAGAAACAAAACCAGTAAATTCTCCCACTTGGAATTACCGTCGCGGGAGATGTTATACGCACTTTGTAGAGCTTGAAACCCAGATATGCTCCTTACCTGCCCAACTGCAAAAAAGGTTCCCAGGTACTCATTCTCCAGTAGGCCCTACACCATTAAGACAAGTATTAGCTTCCATAAGGACCATCTCTAGTGGGGAAATTAGTTCACTTTGTTTAGAAGTAACTTTTCCAAAAGCCATGATCATGCTACTTGCCTGAATAGAGTATGTGTGAAAGGATATATAGGATATTGGATACATCCACACTGGTCCAGGCAAAGCATTTCGAATTCTAAAATAGCCAGCAGAAAGCATCATGACCACCTGAAACAATATACGTTTGTATTGACACATAGTTGAATAATTTGCATCAGAAGGCAGGTAAAAATTCTGGTGTAATAATGGGGAAAAAAAAAATTATCGTTTACCAATTGAATGACCTAAAATTTTGTTATTACTTTACGGCAAAAAATAATGTTCTGTGGGAAATGGAGCTCACATGTATGCACAGCAGGGTCAAAACACTCCAGAAGGCATCTTGCCATAGAGAAGCAATGACTAGCACAAGTCCTTCATTCACTAACAGACACATGAAAAAGTTCAGCACAAAGTACATCAACAAGCCAAACTCATCTCGCAGCCCTACTAGGAAATAGAACACGAGGCTTGATGAAATGGAGATAAGAAACAGGAAAGGGATGCTGGAGAGGAGTTGCCCAAGTAAAAAGGCTAATGCACCAGAGTGCCGGTTTGATTCTTCACAGGCATATATCTGCAGAACAAAATATACTTTCATCAGTCAACTTTTAAACTCAATAAAACAGTACCCCAGTCGTTGGCCCCCCCGGGGGGTGC